AATCATGTGCAATTTTGTGAATTAAAGGGAAAGAAGATCCTTTTACGGTGCACTCGCACATGTCAATTTCGAACTGACCCAATATATTTTCTTTATCATGACCAGTTCACTGATACTGACGTCGACATTATCAAGAAGTACACATCAAATGAAAAATGCACAAATTACCGATAAAATATTTTACACACCCTGTTTCGTGTGTATCTCCTGTCATATCAGTATTTGTTGCATTTATATATAAATGAGAAATAATCAATGTAAAAATGGTAAATTTTTGGAGAAAAAAAACCCAAAATTATGGAAAAAGAACCCAAAAATGTTGTTTTTGACCACTGACTCCTAAACTGTTGGTACCATATGATAACCCCCAAAATCAATTCTAACCTTCCTTTTGTGTATTGAAGTTGAACCCAAGAGAAAATAAATCTGGAATCCCACTGAAATCCCAGCTGGAATTTTGATGGGATTCCAAGTGGGATCCCACCTAATTCCACCGGGATAAAATTTCGGGAATCCCGCCAAAAGTCCGGGAATTCCGATGTAAATCCCGGTTGAAATATACTGGGATCCCACTGGGATATTGTGGGATTTTGATTGGAATATACTGGGATTCTGATTGGGATCCCGCTCTTTTAGCGGGAATCCCGAAATTTTATCCCAGTGGAAATATACTGGGATTCCAGTATATTTCCACTGGGATTTACATCGGGAATCCCGGACTTTTGGTGGGATTCCCGAAATTTTATCCCAGTGGAAATATACTGGGATCCCAGTATATTTCCACTGGGATTTACATCGGGAATCCCGGACTTTTGCAGGATTCCCGAAATGCTACGATTTTGCATTTTCTGAGGGAATATACACATTTATTACTCATTATAAGGTAGATGAATATTGCCCTTGTTGTATCAAATCTGTCACGTATATATAAACATTGCGGCATGAATTACATTGTATTGGCCATGTTTAATATCTTATTTCAATGGCTGTCAAGTTCCCATTCAAAAAAAATGTACTTGTATTTAATGTCAGATCCTTAAACTTCCATCAAAATTATAGATACTAGTACTACTAGCAAACTTGTTTGCCATTTTTAATGGCTGCTTATATTGTTAAATTACCCATTAATTAAATATGGTACTCACCCCACCCCTCCTCCCCATGTTCACTAACACCTTCAAGCATTTCATTGTCTTAATTGTATTTAGATACGCAGTTTTCACCATGGCTTAATGATGCTCGCTGTTCAGTTTCAAATATTATAATATTAAAAATGTGTGTCAGATATAAAGGATACATGTGAAGTTCTCCTCCTTTCTGTAATTAAATTTGCTGTCTCTGTACTTCCAACTAGTATTGCTGAGTAAAGGTAACTGGAATCTGCATGCAATCTGTTTACTTTCAAAATTGGCAGCTCCATTTAATCATTTAATCCCCTAAAAGTATCAAAAAAATCCACAAAGAATCAATTGTTCTAGACATTTTGAAGCAATAAATTCAATAGAAATATTATTGCATGTTTATACAGTATACATTGGAAGCCAGTTGGAATCAAATTAATTATCCTCCCTCTTTTTTTATCCCCTGAAGATAAAAAACTAGCGACTTATTATTTTCACCAAATAACCATTCACACAATTCAATTAAATTTTTACATATCTACCAGTTATGCCTGTTATGTGACAACAAGATTATTCAATGTTGTTAAAAATAAATATATTTTTCAGTTTATGCAGGAACATATATATATTAGATATATCTGCATGTTCCCAGGTTTATGCTTTCAGATTTTCTGATGTTGATTTGCTAAAAAAAAAACCATAAAAAAATCATAGTTCCTCAATAAATTATATTTTATAATCTCATTATATACACATGTTAAATTAAATTTTTAATGCACTTATCTGAAAACATCTTCACCATCACATGGAATCTTCTATTTTGCTACAGCGTAATCACATTTTGATGACGTTTTTATTGAGTACTCTAACGTCGAGGTGACAATCTCGCCCCATATTATATCGGCCAGAAGTTGATCCGTCCCCGTAACGGTATTATAAAAATAAATCAAGGGTGTCGTATAAAAGTATTTATTACTGGCCAGTTTTTAAAAATAAGAAAAAAAAACCTTTAATTTAATCGGCACAGGGTGCATGCGGATGAACTAGTGGCCGCATTATCTAGGACGGTATTTTCTAGGGTCGGACTGTTCAGTACAATTACTAAAAACCACGTGGTCATGACTTGTTTACATAAGTTGAGAACCAAGGTTTTACGATGTCGATCGTTGGCCTATCATTGATCTGATAATTTTTCTATGTTATTTAAATGCCGGACAACAGGTAGAAAATCAGAAACGATCCAGCTTGTCTGGCAAAACAGCCGTTGGCGTTTCTCGGGCGCCCTTTCGTTTTTATCGCGAAAATCTCGGCATTTTACTGACTTTGAAATACTGTCAAACTAAAATTTGTAATTCTTCCATCAACAGAAGTTCAGCTAGCTGTGTAAACTGTCAAATTAAGTGACCCATTAAGTGCAGGGCTTCACCTGACAGCTTTGGTGTCAAACACATTGTTAATTAACACAAATAACCTTTGCTTTATGTCATAAATAATTTGTGTATTTCAAAAATGTTTCAGTTACTTCCCCTTTTTTATCACCTTTTCACAATATATTCCTTAAATTTATTGGTTTTTTTTCTAAAAAAAATAAAAATAAAACAAATTGAATGCAAATGCATATCAGAATATTACTTTTAATTATTTTTAACCTGAAAACACTTCAAATATAAATATTTTGAAAATTATTTTTTTCATCTTTACTTCCATTAATTGATCTATCAAGTGCATTCAAATAATAATTCAAATTTTCATTGAAAGAGGACAACTTTTATTTTTAGAAGCAATAAGTGGGGGAGAGGCATTTAAAAAAGGGCATCCAATTTTTCAAAGCACCAGTTTTAAGTGGGGTCATTCAAAATATATTGATTTAAAAAGGAAAATTTACAAAATTTAGGTTTTTCACAGAAATCTATAACCAGGATATATTTTACATTTCCAGGATAATTTTTTTTAAATTCCACACAAAATTCTGGTTTATGTTTCCCTGTTTAAAGTAAGATGGGATCCCGGTTTCAGACAGTTATCCCAATGGGATCCCAGTTTCGTATATTTATCTTGCTTCAACTGGGATTGGATCCCAGCTTGAGACAGATATCCCAATGGGATCCCAGTTTCAGACATATATCCCGAATGGGATCCCAGTTTCAGATATTTATCCCGAAATGGAATCCCGACTTCTGAGGCCCATCCCGGCTTATCCCGCTAATTTTACCGGGATTTGACTGGGATCCCGATAGATCCCGTTTTCATTTTCTCTTGGGGAACCTTCTGGTACAATTTCATCCATTGTCATAGAGATCCATTTACTTAAACTAAAGTTATTGTCCGGAACCAAATGTGTCTTCGGACAACAACAGCGACATGATTGCATTACTCGAAAGCAAATTTTTTACTTATTCCCCATTTCCATTCTGAATTTTATTTTGCTGTAGTATAAAAACTTGAAAAGTAAGCTAATAAAACAAAATGCAAAAATGACATAAAACTGACTCTGAATTAGTACATGAAATTGATGTAGAAACCCACAAACAGAAGATGATCAGGAATACATTTATACTGCTGAGCAGTGTTCTCCCCTCAAATTTTAAATAGCATCCTAGAAAATAGCAAAATCTTTAGATTATCAACTTAACAATCCTATTTATGGTTCCTTAAGCTTAGATCAAAATGAAAACCCTGATCAAATCATTATTCTAAACAGGCTCACTGTAAATTCAAACTCTTCTTTTAACAATCAAAATGATCCTCTTGCTGATCACATATATATGAGATGCAGGAAACTGGGAATACAATATAAACATCCAGCTAATTTAGAAAGTAAAAATAATTCAACAAAGAGAAAGTGTTGTTTGCAATACTAAATAAAAAAAAAACAGCTACAACTTTTAGATATTGATGAAAAAGATATTCCAAATCCTCCAACTTTTCATGAAAACCAACAAAAAATTAATTTAATAAAGTTATGGATTGTATAACAGTATTAATAGTTTTGAAATTAAACAAATGTCTTATTGTTTTAGATTTTGTAAAATTTGCGAAGAAAGAAAAATGGATTTAAAATGGCACAAGATAATGAATTTAAGCATTGTTTTTTAGATAAATCACCAATAAATTTATTTTCAGCAGAAAACAATATGGACAATAAGGGTGCAACCATTTAGCTTCAAAAGGGCAGGGGTATGATTTTTTGTTTGAGTTAAGATTGTTTTTCACGCAAAGGGCTTCAATGCTATCAATCAAAATTACTTGGTCAAAAAATAACACTAGAAGGTATGGGGATAATCTGGATTCAGAATATTTTTTTTGTCCTCTGCTTGATTAGAATTTTTTTTTTCATCAATTTGGGAATCAGAATATTTTTGAAGAAAAAAAAAACATACTCCTTTCTGCCTTTTGAAGTTCAATGATCGTTCCCTTAACAGTTTCCATCTGAACTTATTATTCTATTTTAGACAAAAACTATAACATTCGTCCTGAACATGCATGACATATTTGCCACTGGACGTTAAGCAAACCAACAATCAATCAATATGTAGGACATAGTCTTGGTAAGCTGGCATTCAAGGTAGCGCCTTCCTCATATTAAGGGAAAATCAATGGTGATATTACTAAAAAAAAACAAGGATTTGTATATATAGTAAGATCTTACTATAGTCTATACAAATTCTTGAAAAAAACAGAAACAAAATAACAGAATATTACAATAAAATATTTTAATTGGCATCTTTCATTCAGGCTTGATATCAAATTTAGATCACATCTTTTAAGTCATGTCACGTTCTACCTGGCCTTGATCATTTAAAACCTTCATATGTAATGTAATGTCATGTACAATGTTCTATTTAATGACCTTTTCCTAAAATTACTAAAAAAACTTACGTAAAAATCTTTTCCTTTTCAACCTGTCACGCCCTCCTATCATAAATTCTGCTAAATTCTCAACATCGAATGTAGCCTTAGATCTTTCTCTTGCCAAATCTGGGGTAACATTCTGTGACATCTTGGATTCTTGCTCTCTGTTCCTTCAGTGGTGGGATGTCTGTTATCCGGGTCTGAATGGACAATCTCAAAATGGATTTTGGAATGCTAGTCGTTTCGTACCTGTTAGGTAATTAACATTCTAATCGTTTATGTTGATCTTTTATGAGATAAAAAAAAATATTTCGAGTATGTGTCTTCATATATTTGATAAAGATGTATGTATTGATCAAACTGATAAACAGCTAGATAAATAGGAATGATCAGGAACGGGTCGACGAGAAGGGTTATAGACATCACCACCGGAAGTACACATTTTGATCATGGCGGCAAATAAGGTTGTCAACATAATATAATGCAAACTCCCCATTCTTTGAGTTATTAGAATGTGTCAATCATTAAAACAATGATAAACATTTTAACCAATCAACACAAAACACGAAAAAAACAAATAATGCAATAATATTGGCCTATTTTTTTATTAGGGTTTTTTTTGTCAAGTAAGCAAGTATGATAAATGTTTATTTTTGTTAATATGTTATGTAGAGTTGGACATGATATGTACAAATTAACATGTTTGAAATAGTAATCATGAGCTTTGTAGAGCTATTAAGGTAGATGGGGTGTCTAAATTAAAATCCATAGAACTTTTTAATAATTTGTCAAAATGTAGCTTAGTATGCCTTTTTCAAAAAATATAATAAAAAATAAAAAAGTATGGGTCACCAGGCTTTTTTCCATGCTACAGGTTGTGCTAATTTTTCAGATTTTGTATGGAAAATCCAATTGTGTTTGATAAAAGAAAACGACAAATAAAATAGGAGAAAATAGCTCTTATTCATTTTTTTGTAATATGCTTTCTGATAAGAAAAGGAAAAAATAGGGTCACCAGACTCGTTTTTTTGATACATTATAAAATAGGTAGATTCACAACACTATTATAAAATTACTTTATATTAGTGATCTCCCCTTATTTCTGAGTTGCCTTCCCTTATGTAGGAAAGTTGAAAAAAATTGATTAAATCACAAAATTCTGTATTTTTGTAAAATACAGCCATAAATATGATAAAACACATAATTTTCAATGTTAACACTAAAAAGTCTTACACATGAATTACATACTACTCTCGAAATTTGCAGATTTCTTTTAAAACAAGACCAATATGGCAGTTCCGGGATCCGGTTTTTAGTTGAATCTGTCATGTGACTTCCATCACCACATGACATGACCAAAATGTAGGCATCATCACTTCCAAAACGGGTGAAAAGTTTGATTTTATATTGCACAAAATATTTGGGAAATTTATATCTATAAATAAGCTGGTCACCCTCCCTCAGTCGTACGGGAATGAAGATTTGTACTTACGGAACATGAATTTTCTATACTACCCTACAGAATGATGATTATGAAAGTGCTGGAAACTTTTAATAGAGCAGGGATACAGGCGCGTCTTCTATCTGGTAAATGACGTCATAAAGGTATGCGAAATTGATGATCTTTTCCGGTGAAAGACATGATTCCAGAAATGACGTATTGTCATCTGCTGTTTTTTCAAAATCCAAGATGGAGGGAGACACACAAGCCACCTTATCAGACTTGATTTTTAAGAACAAATAAAACTTATAAGCACACTTGACAGAATGCACATTTCACAATTTATGCATGAACTACTGGTTTTAAACACTTGTTCCGATTACATTGACCAATCTCTAGTTGATTTTTGTCTCACCGCGGAGTCAAAAAGCGAGACCTAGGTATGCTGTTTCCGATGTAGTCAACAATGCACAATGTTTTATTTGTTATTAGTCAGTTTATGGGGAACCACAAGTGGTAGGTCTGATATTTATTACAAAGTTGTACAAGCATTGGCACCTTTCATTTCCATTGAGATTGTTTGGCCCTGTACCTTTAGTCACCCTGTACCTTTAGTCACCCATTACCTTTAGTCACCCTGTACCTTTAGTCATGGTTGTTGGCTGAATATTTTGCACAATTTGTATGTTTAAGGTATATTAATTTCAACAATTGCATTTTACTATTAAAATAACAAAAGTTGAAACATATCTCTGTGTTCATGGTATTAATTTACTTAACAGTTTATTATGAATAAATTACACCTCTTGACCCAATGTCAATTATTGTAAATTACGTCATTGAACAATCGTTTGTGTACATGTTATCTTTAATAAGGTGTTGATTTTTTACATGTATTCTTTGAAACATCCATATACATGATAAAAACTTTATTGAAATTTACTGCTTCCAAATTCTGAACTATCCACAAGGGAGACAACATGAAAATCCATAATAATCCAATCAGAATTGAAGGTTGTTCTTATTGCAATCTGGATCAATGTGCAGTTTCAACTATGGCTACTCTCCAAAATTATAGAATAGATTATAATTTATGACTAAAATCTTTACAGGAGTTATATTTTATAGCATGCCTTTGCTTTAGTTATACTCATCCTTTAACAATACCTCATTTTGTTTGTGCTCTAGGAAGCCATTGCTATAGTTTTAGATGTTGGACCCTCCATGAATAATGCTCCACCGGGAGAGGAGACATTTTTACAGACCGCTATTGATGCCATCACAAGGATTCTGCAGAGAAAGGTATACTTAAGATTTATAAAAAGTATGTGAGTGTACAAGACCCTCTATATTTAAAAAAGGACCGATTGTTATACGACTGCAAAAAAATTTTTGTGGTTGTATATTGGTATGACGTTGGCGTCGTCGTTGTCAACGGCGTCGTCCGAAGACACATTGGCTTTCGCACTCTAACTTTAGTTTAAGTGAATGGATCTCTATGAAATTTTACCACAAGGTTCAATACCACAAAAGGAAGGTTGGGATTGATTTTGGGGGTTATGGTACCAACAGTAAAGAAATTAGGGGCCAAAAATAAGCATTTTTGTAACTTCCAGACATAACTTGTGTGTTAGTGTATGGATCTCTCTGACATTGTACCACAAGGTTCCATATCACTAAAGGAATGCTGGGATTGATTTTGGGGGTAATTGCCTCAAAATATTAGGAAATAGGGGCCAAAAAAGGGGCAAAAACAAGCATTTTTCTAGTTTCATGACAATAACTTGTGTTCAAGTGTATGGATCTCTCTGAAATTGTACTGCAAGGTACCATACCACAAAGGGAAGGCTGGGATTGATGATGGGGGTAATTGCCTCAATATTTTAGGAATTAGGGGCCAAAAAGGGGCAAAAAACAAGCATTTCTATAGTTTCAGCAGTCTTCACACTGAACCACAGGCCCAGCAGCCCAGGCTTGTAAAATTGCTCTAGGGCCTGTAAAAATCATATCTACAGGCCAACAGAATCTAACTAAATTTTTCCAAAAATTTACTTCTGGGCCTGTAGATCTAAAAGTTTATCGTGAAGACTGTTTCAGGACAATAACTTGTGTGTTAGTGTATGGATCTTTCTGAAATTGTACTACAAGGTTCCATATCACAAAGGGAAAGCTGGAATTGAGTTTGGGGGTAATTGCCCTAAATGTTTAGGAATTTGGGGCCAAAAAGGGGCCAAAAAATACATTTTTCTAGTTTCCAGACAATAACTTGTGTTCAAGTGTATGGATCTCTCTGAAATTGTACTGCAAGGTACCATACCACAAAGGGAAGGCTGGGATTGAGTTTGGGGGTGATGAATCATAAGGGGGTTCAAAAAATTTGGGGGGGGATTTTTTTTTTTTTTCCTTTTTTTTCTTTTAAAATTTTCCATTTTAAGTTGGTTATTTCTGATTTATATTTAAAAGCAAATAATAATGATATGGTAGGAGATACACACCAAACAGGATGTGTAAATTATTATATAATAAGTATTGTGCAATAGCAAGAAATTTTCAATTGCACAGTATTGCACAATAGCAAGAAATCTTTAATTGCGCAATAGCAAGAAATCTTCAATTGCACAGTATTGCGCAATAGCAAGAAATATCCAATAGCACAATATTGCGCAATAACAAGAAATTGTCAATTGTACAGTATTGCGCAATAGCAAGAAATATTTAATTGCACAGTATTGTGCAAAAGAAGATACTTCGTATAAATTGCTTATTTCTTGACCAATTTCAATGGGGTTTTATTCTTGAATTCTTGGGGTTCTTTAATATGCTGAATCTAACTGTGTATTTAGTTTTTGGATTTTGGGCCCCGTTTTTAAATTGGTCCACATTGAGGTCCAAAGGGTCCAAAATTAAACTTTGTTTGATTTCATCAAAAATTGAATTATTGGGGTTCTTTGATATGCCGAATCTAACCGTGTATTTAGATTCTTAATTTTTGGTTCCGTTTTCAAATTGGTTTACATTAAGGTCCAAAGGATCCAAAATTAAACTTAGTTTGATTTTAACAAAAATTGAATTCTTAGGGTTCTTTGATATGCTGAATCTAAACATGTATTTAGATTTTTGGTTATGGGCCCAGTTTTCAAGTTGGTCCAAATCGGGGTCCAAAATTAAACTTTGTTTGATTTCAACAAAAATTGAACATATGGGGTTCTTTGATATGCTGAATCTAACCATGTATTTAGATTTTTGGGCCCCGTTATCAACTTTGTCCACATTGAGGTCAAAAGGGTCCAAAATTAAACTTTGTTTGATTTCATCCAGTGATATTGTTTGCCTCAAATTACAGCCGAAATTCGGGTTTTTCCCCTAGAGAAAATTCCCAATTACTAAAAAAAATGGCTTAAAATTCCTCCCAAAAAGTTTTACATTTTCCCCAATCAGTGATAGCATTGGTAGGAATGTTTGTAAATATCGTATTCATGCTATTATTTTGATATTAGAAAGCACTTTTGAGATCCGGTTTTCTGATCAGAATCATCATGGTGTTTGTAACACATGTGGTTTTCAATGCATTAAGTACCATCATTGCTTCTGTTTCTTTCCCCTCTTCGAAAAGTACCTTTCAGGTTGAAAATGTCTGACAACCAAAATATACATGAAAAAACAGTGCAAAAAAGACTGCAAAGGTCAGCAAAAAATCGTAGATGCGTTTAGAATAAAATATACAAATTTCCCAATTTCAATAAAAAATATGCATTTTTCCCAAAAATAGACAACAATATCACTGTCATCAAAATTTGAATTCTTGGGGTTCTTTGATATGCTGAATCTAACCATGTATTTAGATTTTGGATATTGGACCATAATAGGTGAATGTCCAATTTAAATTTTTTAAGTTCTTAGACCACATTCATTCTGTGTCAGAAACCTATGCTGTGTCAAATATTTAATCACAATCCAAATGCAAAGCTGTATCATGCTTGAATGTTGTGTTCATACTTGCCCCAACTGTTCAGGGTTCGACCTCTGCGGTTGTATCAAGCTGCGCCCTGCGGAGCATATTATTTTATACATGTAATTACACAACAACAATCTAGTAGACTATTTATTTGTTTAAATATGGTAAAAACTGATGATATAGAATAAAAGTTGAACCAAGATCTTTACATATTGAGCTATTCAGTATCAATCAATATACATGTATTTTTTTACTAAAGTTATTAAAAAGAAGTTATAATTGACTAATGTTTTCTCAGTGGGATAGCTAATTAACCCAAGACTTTGCCTTGACCAAAAAATGTAACCTTGGAGTTGGGCAATAATTACATGGAAGTCTAAAAAGCTGTAAAAGTAATGATAATGGCAAGAAATTATCTGGTTAGTGAACAAAAGCTGACTCGGAAATAACCTGATGTATGGTGTAAAGGAAGTGTTAGTCTCCTCCCCATCATCATGATTGTCATCTCAATCAGCAGACTAACAAAATGTACATAAAATAACAACTCTAAAATACATGTGTGATAAATAATAAAAATCAGTTCAGGTAAAACAAACAAAAACACAAAAAATAACATATTCAACAATTCTTGCAGTAACCTCAAGCAAGCTCAAAGCACATACTGTGGATTCATTTATTATTGTGGATACCAATTTTAGTGGATAAGGGATGATACAATTTTCATGGATATTTGATTTTATGGTTTTGACAAATAGATATAAGAAGATGTGGTATGACTGCCAAAGTGACAACTCTCCATCCAATTCACAATTTGTCAAGGTAAACCATTATAGGTCAAAGTACGGCTTTCAACAGGGAGCCTTGGCTCACACAGAACAGCAAGCTTTAAAGGGCCCCAAAAATGACAAGTGTAAAATCATTCAAACAGGAAAACCAACGGTCTAATCTTTATAAAAAAAAATGTCTGCATGGAATAAAATTGAGAATGGAAATGGGGAATGTGTCAAAGAGACAACAACCCCGAAGCTTATTTGCAAATTTGTACTTTCGTTGAACATTTAAATTTGTGGTTTACTTATATACATATACTAACAAAATCAACAGAAAGTGTTATAAGTAAGAATAAAATCCCAGTCAGTGATATTTCATAATTTATAAAATTAGTCATATTTGAATATTTGAATATTTTAGATGTTTTCCGAATCCAAGGATGAAATAGCATTGATATTATTTGGGACACCTGATACAGATAATCCATTGGCTGACGGAGAATGTTACGAGAATATAACGATTGCACAGCCCATGGATGTAGCCAGCTTTGAACTGTTGGAGACTGTACAGAATAACATACAGTCCACGGATGTCTCGGCTGACTGTATCCTTGTTCAGATCATGTGTTTTATGTTTTGGGTTTTGTTATTTAGGGATTTTGTGTTATGAATTAAACACCTCATTCCCTCTTCAATTTTTGCATCAAATTTGAAAAGTTGAATTTGTCATTACGCACATTCATTCAAAAGAATAACCAATGCTTTCTTGCCATAGGTTTGGTGGTTATTTCGGGTGGAATATCCAACTTTAAAATAGTAGGGAATGTTTCTACTATTGAGCAAAATATCAAAAGTTGGAAAAATTATTTTCTTAGAATTTTTACTAATTGAATTATATCCCTTTACTTAACTTAAATATCCATAGATAACCCACAACCAATGTAAAAAATTGAATAAAATTTAATGGATTATTCCTTCCTACCCTCACACATCCATTTTAATGATATTATTTGTAAACCCCATTTCACAAATAATCAAAGCTCTTCCTTAACTGGTTTTAGTTGTTGATGCTTTGATTGTAGCATTGGACCATCTTGTCAGTTCAACACAGTAAGTTAATACAATAAACTCAAAAACAGTCAAACAAATCTGTATAAATAGTTTCAATATGAACACATTGTTGAAAAACGTTATCAACCAAGGCCACAACAAACAATCTAGGAGGTCAGAGTGAAAAATTGCATTTTAATCCAGTTTGTGATCATCAACCCAACAAAATAGCATATCCATGCTTAGATATTAGATAAAACCAACTAAAATTCATATACAAATATAAATTGTCACAAATATACAAATAAAGATACAAGGAAGTCAGGAGTCATCCCAACGAGATTGATTTTCTCGCTTGAGCTGGTACTGATAAAGTGAAAAAAGCAATCGAGTTGAGATTACCAATGATAATCTGTTTATCGTTATTTTACCTATGATGACGTTGTTAATTTCATTGACAACTGCAGGTGTGCCCTTAGTTTCTAGCGATAATTTTTCATATCACTCTACTGTGCTGAGAAAGGAAATTATCAGTTAGTAAGATCAAAGGAAAATTTCGTAAAATAGCAATAAATGAACCTACAACAACCACTGAACTACAGGCTCCTGACTTAGAACAGGCACATAAAGTATATTTGCTGGTGCAAAACCTTTCCCCTAGCCTGGGTGAAGTCTGCAGAGAAGGCTGAAAAATGGAATAGCAAATTTACATTATTTTACAATTATATGAGCATTTTATGCTTTTATTGGGTAGCTGTTTTTAACCTGTGTATTTACTTTTTAGAGGAAAGAAAGGGTTCTGTATGAAGAGGTTGATCCTGATATCTGACTTGGGTGGAGAATTTGGTGATGATCAGATAGATACTGTTGTAGCTGGAATCAAGAACTCTGGCACAGAACTTAATGTAATGTAAGTATTGATAGTGCAGTAAGTTATAAGAGGGGGAAAGAGGGAGGGGGAGAATTTGGTGATGATCAGATAGATACTGTTGTGGTTGGAATCAAGAACTCTTGCACAGAACTTAATGTAATGTAAGTATTGATAGTGCAGTAAGTTATAAGAGGGGGAAGGAGGGAGGGGAGAATTTGGTGATGATCAGATAGATACTGTTGTGGCTGGAATGAAGAACTCTGGCACAAAACTAAATGTAGTGTAAGTTTTGATAGTGCAGTAAGTTATAAGAGGGGGAAGGAGGGAGGGGGAGAATTTGGTGATGATCAGATAGATACTGTTGTGGTTGGAATCAAGAACTCTGGCACAAAACTTAATGTAATGTAAGTATTGATAGTGCAGTAAGTTATAAGAGGGGGAAGGAGGGAGGGGGAGAATTTGGTGATGATCAGATAGATACTGTTGTGGTTGGAATCAAGAACTCTGGCACAAAACTTAATGTAGTGTAAGTATTAGTGCATGCAGGATTCTATATGGGGAAGGGGAGACAACTTTTGAATAAAAATTTGGAGACCATAAGATAAATTTTAATGGTGCAGCATGTTAAAAGAACACAAGTTTTTTAATAAAACCTAAACCCATAATGTTGTGTACTTAATCAAGAAGTCTGATACAAAAATAATATAGAATATATGATACAAAATGAGGTTTTAAATACAGTTAATTTTATCAATGAAGAGAATGATATTGGTAAAGTGCATTGTTCATTGTATATACTGTTAAAGGTCTAATAGTGACTTAAATTCTCCCTTGACATGCTCGTCCGAAGCATTTCTAAACTAACTTCCTTACTATAAATAAAACAAAAATCCAATACATTGAAATAAACTGAATGTTATAATAATGCATTAGAATGTGACAATAAAAGGAAAACTGACTTATTTTTTTGTACCTTCTGTGAACTAACACCCCAACTATTACTTTATATAGTATACTGGAAAAGCACATTTTAAATTGCCAAAGTATTTCACGTGCAAATATTTATGATATATTTATATCCAAAATCAAGAACTCGTTATACAATTACTCTTACCAGTTATGAACATGCAAATAGTATAAATATAGCACAGGAAAAAACTCCCAAGTTTCAACGAAAAGAAATATATTTTTATTTTACAAATGCATGATTTGATGCATGGTATCGTTTACTCATATCACTTTTATCAAGAACCAGAAAAAAATTGAATGTTACAGAATTATTCACGACAGATCATTACTGAGTGAATACATATACTGTGGATTCATTTATGGATACCAATTTTAATGGATTGAGGAAAACTAGAATTTAAATGAATATTTGAATTCATGGTCTGCATATATATATTCCTATAAAACATTTGTAATCCATTGAACATTTTAATGAGTAGTTTCCCTGTACCCACCAAAAACCACAAAAATTGGTATCCAATGAATGATAATGCAGCCACAATATACAAAATATACAAAATAAAATGATAAAAAGGGAGATAACAATAATTCTTTTTATGTATCACCTTCTTAACAACAAAAAACAAAAATAAAACAAAATAGCAGTAAGGGCTTATGTTTTGTTATCGTTGCATGATTATTCTGTAATTCTGTAGTTCCGTTTATCCCTCCCAAGTAGTTAAAAAATATTAACAAAAGTACCAAACTCCAAGGTAAATTCAAAAAGGGGGTAATCCATAAAACCAGACAAAATCAAATGTTCGACTTTATCAACAAAGGAAATGAAAGGAAAAGATTTCTGACTTGGTACAGACATTTTCCAACATATTTGGTGGGTTAAACCTGGTTTCATAACCAGCTAAAACTCCCACTTACCTGACATCAAGTATTTTGCTATGGTAGCTTACTAAAAAATTGAGGTGACATAAACTTGAAACTTTGATCACCTATATTCATAATGATATGATCTTTTCAATTTGAATTTATGAATTTTTCAATATGAATATCAGTGTTTTGATCCTGATTTCCTGGTTCACTGGTCATAGATATGTGATCTACAGTGTGAAACCAGTACATCTCAGGTTACCATTATGTAGGAGCAGGATTACCACTATTTTCAAGATGTGGTGTTACTCCTGTAACAATCAATTAAGGGAGAATGTCTTTTGTTCAACTAGCTCACAAGAATAAGATACTTCAAATAACTATAATTGTGTTCAACATTTTTGGTTAAGGTACTGTGGATTCAGTAATATTTGTGGATACCAATTTTCGTGGATAAACCACAAATCTAAATTTCTAACAGTACAAATATCCTATAGGCATATATTGAGGAGACTTTGGGAAAACAACAAAATATCCAAGGAAAATGCCTCTTTTCATAAATCCCATAAAATTGATATCAACAAAAATAAATGAATCCCAGTAGTTTACAATGAATGTTGTGATCACATCAACTTAAAACTTAGTGCAGATGCTCATTATGATGTGAACTATTTGATTATATGACAGATTAAGGTTTGACCCTGATTTCATACTTCACTTAACATGGAAATATGATAATGTGAGTTGGGCATTGTGTCCTTTGGGCACATATTCTTGTTTTAATATTCTTGTAAATTATTTACTTTATTAGTGGACCTTCTATAGAGGAGGATGATGATGATGATGATGCTCCGGGACCTTCGACAGCAAATGGTCATACTAAAGATAAGACTCCACAACAAAGAGCCGGAGAGGCCATGCTGAAACACATTCTACAGGAAGTTGATGGAGAATGTTACAGTTTTAGGTAAGTCTAGTGATACCTTGAAAAAAAGCCTTGTCCTGAACACACATGAAAAATTTGCCACTGGATGTTAAACAACCAACAATCAATTAATCAAGCAAGTCATCTGATTAAATATAAAAATGGAGATGTGGTATGATTGCCAGTGAGATCTTACAATTAAAATTGATTGTAAGTCATACTTAAATAATCATGAATTACAAGTATTTTTACTCGAAAGATGTTTTGTGAAAAGAGCTGCTTGCATTCAGATGAAATATGAATATAAATGTAAGGAGATGTGATACGATTTCTATGAAGCAACTATCCACCAGAGTCTGAATCATGAGGATGTTAACAAGTCTAGGTCTCGTATGGCTGAGAAAAATTTAGTTTAAATTCAATATGTAGGGATGCCTTCAAGCTAGATATTTGAGTTTAAAGTCTTCAAATTAAATATAGATATAAGGAGATTTGATTTGATTGTCAAGGAGACAACTATCCACAAGAGTCTGAAGGATGAGAATGTAAACAGTGGTAGGGCTCTTTATGGCTGACAAAAGTGAAGTATGTCCAGTCCACGATGTTTTACTGATATTGTCGACATCGCGATGTATACTGTATCGTGTCGTTATTGTGTTTACATTGTATCGTATCTATACCTTGTGTTTACATTGTTTACATAGAATACATTGTGATGTTGACAATAGCGAATTAACATTGTGTTTATATTGTATAACAAGTTTTTACCTTTGTGTTTACATCGTTCACATCGTAACATGATATCGTTACTACATTGTATTCATCGCAATGTTAATGATGTCAACGTTGTAAACAGTATATTAGAGTTCTCATAATGTTAATGATGTATCATATCTATACCTTGTGTTTACATAGTATACATTGTGATGTTGACAATAGCAAATAAACATAGTTTTATATTGTATAACAAGTCTATCAGGGTTCGACAATAACGCTTGTCCGATTGTCCGGTACCAGAGGAAAAAAAGGTCGGACAAGTAAAAGCTATATCAAACTTGTCCGACGGGACAAGTTAAATTATTATGCAGAAAATAAATTTAATCCAACTTTGATGAACAAAGTAATTATAACCAAAAAACAAGAAAAGAAGATAAACACCAGTATTAATTTGACGTGTTTACTTGCAATCGATAATTTAAAACTGGTTCTTTGTGAGGTACTTTTTAACAGATAAAAGGCATACTATTCTAGGAAACCAGTCTTACTGATCCGAATCAGCGATGCGCTTTGTAGATAAGGTAACTTTACAAGACAGTTCGTCACCAGCTCGGAAACGATTCGGCTCCAAGTTTAATAGACAGTTTGGCACCGTAGGAGACATATTTAATAGACATGATTAATAGACAGTTTGGCAACACATTAGATATTTCGGGACCAAGACAAATCAGTACCTGTTTTCCTACCTTATTCTGTTGCTTTATAATAAATACCATACCGTAATTTTTTTAACAAAAATATTTTTTAAATAAAAATGAAGAAATTATTTACCATAAAATTCCCAAATCATATTTGATCATATATAGAAGAAAAAAAACAATACTTGCAATTCGGTGACCTATAGTTATTAATTTCTGTGTCATTTGGTCTCTTGCAGAGAGTTGTCTCATTGGCAATCATACCTCATCTTCTTTTTTTTTATTGATTGAATTTGAATAAACTTTTTTTCAACTTAAAAAACCAGGATACAAATCCAATGAGTGGAAATTGACAAGCCTATCAGATGGTGCCTCATGTGTAGAGTCTGATGAGACTTTGGCATTGATAAAAACTAGAACATAAGTCCTGTAACATGACTAGATTCAGTTGTTCTCGACTCATATTTTTAAAAGGTATTTCAAAAGATATAAATCAAATTCTGTTCTATTGTTTTCATTCATTTTGTTCCTTGAATCAACTTAAAATGCAAAAAAGGTTATTATTAAGATTTTTGTTGGACAAGTTACAATTTCATTCGGACAAGTAAGTTTTGGTATGTACTTGTCCTTCTGGACAAGTTGGAAAAAAAGTTATTGTAGAGGCCTGTCTATACCTTTGGGTTCACATCAATCACACCGTAGACATTGCGATGTTGATAATAGTGAGTCGACATCGTGCTTATATTGTATACTAAGTCTATACCTTTGACTTTACATCGTTGACATTGCAGATATCGCGGTGTTGACAATAGCGTGTCAACATTGTTTATATTGTATACAGAGTCAATACCTTTGTGTTTACATCGTTCACATTGTCAACATCGCAATGTAAACAGTATATATCGTAACTACATTGTATACATCGATGTTAACGATGTCAACGATGTAAACAGTATATAAGAGTTGTTACAATGTAAACGATGTTGATAAGATATTGTGTTAACATTGTAAATATCGCGACGTCGACCAGTGTTCCAGCTAGGATTTCAAAAGGGCAGGGAGCCAATCATGAAAAGGGCATGTCAAACATTGTCTGATGTAAACTGCAGGGGTTTCAGCTAGGAGTATTTTGGGTAACAGTAAGGGACCAAGGACGTATATTACAAGCTATATATATATGCCCTAGTCCTCAGTCAAGGACAATGATCTTTGAAGGCCTTAGGCATGCTACAAATGTAGGCAGTCATGGTATGATTTTACTGGTGTGATGCTTAAGTATGAAGATAAGAACAAGGATCGGGAAATTTAGTTCACGATTTCTGTTATTTTGAGGGGACATCCTGATCAACAAAAGTCGGGTTCCTCTTTTTTTCAAAGCAAGGAATCACAGCATAAATGAAATTGTGACGACCATTTCACTGCATATTCAATATCCCTGTAAAAACATTTTAAACTCAATATTTGGAATTCATTTTTATGAGCTTGGAATGATTAAAAAGACTGTCTATTCTAAATTTATCAAGAGATCACGTTTACTTTCGATTTTTAAACGAAATGAAAACAGGAAGTGACAATTCAAGAGGATAATAAATTTAGAATGAATCCGGATTCATCTACGGATTGGTTTGTGATTTCGTATTTTACATTTAAGTGTCTATTAAATTTATATAAAGATACGTTCACGCAAATGTTAATTAGCTGAGGGTCATAAACTTGCCATAAATATGAAGACAGGTAGAATAATAGTATTTTCATCAAAATATTACGAAAATAAAGGCATGGACTTACAAAAAAGGGCAGGGCGTCAGAAAAAGGGCACAGGGCGGCACTGGGGAAAGGGCGGGCGGACCGCCCTGTGAAAACGACCAAGCTGGAACACTGTCGACTGTATTGTTTTTACATTGTGCACTGGACATGGATGACAAAAGTTTAGTTATGTTTTCATTATTCACTGTCACTGATGCTAACAAAACATGTCTTTTGAACAAGTTTAGTTTTGTGAAATATATTCCGTGAAGTTCGGGACACTAACTAATTAATTAAAAACTCTTCTATCAAGAATGGACAAAGAGACATGTTGAGTGATTGTTGTAAGTTTAACATTAAGTGGCAAATATTTCTTTCATATTCTGGAAGATGAATGTTGAGTAAAAATATCATAAATATTCCGAGGGTTTAAGATTAGTAGCCAGACATTATAATGACTTGTTTCTTTTGTTGCTTTACATCATATAGAGTCGATGTTCCTCTAGGTTTTATTTAAGACAAAGACCCCATGTATTGTATTGAAAAGTTCAGTTAATATGTTGAAGGCAGTACAGAGCCCTATAGTTGCTTACATCCACATCCTTTGATCTCTTGTGGATAGTTGTCTCATTGGACAATCATGCCACATTCAAGATATTAAACTCACACTCCATCTTAAATTCAAAAGATTCTGATTGTTTTCATTCAAATATTTGCTTGTACCTGAACTTATGAAGAGGGGCGTAAAGGGGTGGTATCACGATGAACGAACAATAAAAAAGTTCTTGCACGTTGATCTTTTTACCGATTTCACCAAACACAGTGAATAACAAACCTTTTTCACGGCTGCAAGTGAAATAAAAATGGCAAACACGTTGCACGAAAATAACCCTTTACCACCCTCTATGAACTCTGATCTTTATTTATGAAAATAAGAAAATGTGATACGATTACAAATTGCAATGAGACAATTATCCATAAGAGACCAAAGGGTGTGGATGTAAGTAACTATATTGTGTCAATGTATTTTGTAGCAACAATTGTTCCCCTTTGACTAGTAATTGGCTGAACTGATTTGAAAATCTGAACTAGAATTAATACAAAAATCTACCAGCGATTTGTTTTATATGCATCAAAAATGATAAGTGCTAAACACTGTCTTTGTTTTAATACTTATATTGTACTAGATATGTCCATAGGATAAGAAATGTTTGAGTGAAACCTTGTCACTTCTTGGCTATATAGAAAGCTAGAAGTGAATTAACAGCACCCAAATTTTTTGTTGGTCTATAGGACTTTTATGGATAGATGCCACTAATAGCAACTACATACCACATCTTTATATTTTTATCTGTATATATATATCACTGAATCCACAGAGGATATTCACTGAAGCCTTGACAGCACTGATTTGCAAGTATTTGAAAATCCCTGCTTTGAGATAACATTGGATCACATCAACTTGAAACCTTCATCGACCTTGCTTGTTCTCAGACAGAGAGTCTAAGTTATATTTCAGTGAAGCCTTGTTGATGGTATTTCTATATTTTCAGTGAAGCCTTGCCTGCTCTCAGTTATTTCCAGACCAGACAGATTAGACAGACAGCCTGGAAATGTCAGCTAGAAATCACGTCAAATTTAAAGATCCCTGTCTGTTCTTATGTCAAGGTAGGATGGATGGGCAATAAAATGGATTATCTGATAAATATAAATATTCTGCTTTTAAACGAAGGAACCTCAATGACAACTGTATGTTCAGAAGATGGACTATATTTATATACACTTATCTTGAGTTGATTTTGACTCGCCTGCAACAAAAGTCATGGAAAGTGAAACATAGGAATTGCTGCTGCAGTGGTGGTGTCAACAGTTGTTAAGTTTTCTGCTTAAGTTAGTTTGATAGGAACTACTTGTGATAGATCTACGATATTAAATACGAAGTTGCACTACTATCAGTACATATCAATTTGACAACTAGGTCAAGGTACAGAGACTTTAAATTAATTATTCAGTTAGTTTAATGGGATCTACTAGTGATAGATCAATGACATTTTGTAACAAGTTGCATTACTATCAGTGCATATCAGTTTGACGACTATTTAGAGGCCCTGCCCCCTAGGACATTGTCCAGGTACTTTGAATTAATTAGCAGTTTTCAATGTAAAGTTTTCTGCTTAAGTCAGATTGATAGGAACTACTTGTGATAGATCAACAATATTATGTATCAAGTTGCATTACTATCAGTACATATCAGTTTGTTGACTATTTTGATGCCCTGCTCCCTAGGACATGGTCTAGTGAATTAATAAGCAATGTCCATCAGATTGTCTTTATCTGAATTTTATGCCAACAAGTGCCATATCTCTGTGTCAACAGTTATTTATCAATGAGTTACTCCAATTTTACTATGTCTATAAAAGGTTCCAAGATAATGGCAAAAAAAAAAATTGGTAATATTGTCATCTAAGGGTACTCATTCTCCAGGAGTTGTTAGACCATTTCGGCCATGTAAATTTTTTGTAGAATTCTTCCTGCTGTTCGTTTGAGCATTTAAATTGTCTTTTTAACTATTAAATCTTTCAAGGCAATAAGAAAAATGCCAAATACTTGTAATAATTCATCTTGACAGTTTGACTTGCAGTTAACAATGTGTGAAAGAGGATTCATGATGTTTCCTTAATATCACCCAATCTCTCAATAATTTGAATGAATCTTCTTCACTGTCTTATTAATTAGTGTAATACACTAGATTAGGATTTACTTTAATAACTTAAACAAATATTCAGTGTAGCATTACATAGCTCATGAAAGCAGTTGTTCTTAAAAATTATATTCACATTAACTAGACTAAAAACTTAATATAAGTTCCTTTCAAGCTACCATCTGATTTATATACTATGTTACTAAGCATATGTTTTGTTGAAATGTTCATCTATAATCTTATGAAGAAAGAGGGGGAGGTATATGGTTTTTATTCATCCATCTGTGAGTCTGTCATATAACAGTTGCAAAAAGCTCTTCATTTTTTACTGCATTTAAGCAGAATTTAAAAAGAACAGCTGTTGACATACTAATGATGACATTACATGAATGTACTTAATCCTTTGACTTTGCTAAGATTGATCAAATATGGTGCTTATGGATGACCTTTTTCTTTTTTTCCAAATTAGCCAAAAGGTGTTGTTTGCAAGAAATTAAGGGTCCATAACCTTCTGCTGAAGTATTTCTTTTAATAACTATTTTTTTCAAATTATCATCTATTAATCACACACACATGGCTAATATTGAAGGAAGCATGTACAACAATCAGATTTTTCTGACAATGGGATTATCATTACACTTCCATCAATTAAAATTTCTAATGTTTAATAGCAGGGGTTGTGAAAATCCTTTAGGTGAAATGTTACCCCATTTAACCACACAATTTCATTCAATTATACGATCAACACTTTATTAATTAGTCCATTGTTGCTGATAACTATAAAATGCAATCAGCTGATTATTGTTTTCTGTCAAAATCGTAACGTGTGACGAGTTCAAGGTGAAATTCCAGTCCTTTATCAAATGGAAAAATCAAAAGCCCAAACACATTAAACCAATATATGGAAACACATTAGTACTTTTGTCTGACGTCAACTTTAAATGTAACAAAAATTGAATCATGATCAAGGATAACTTTATAATGCTCCTTTAAAACGTCTCGGAAAAGTTCTGCTATCTTTTGAAAGACATCCACAGCTTGTATTTTACTGACAATGATTGTGGAAGAGAAAATGATATGGTCGTAGATGTTAGCACGATTTCCAGTTGATTTGTATGGAACTAGATATAAATCACTGTTGCTAGGTGTTGGAGGAAACATTCCTGATCCATAGGTCGTTGTAGTGTACTGTGATGGAATGGGCATATATATACTACCTACAGACAAAGACTTCAACATTTGTTCTTTCTTTCCATTTTGAATCAGTTTTTGCAGAGTGGCATTATCTAACTCTACATTGAAATCACCACCTAAAACTAGTGGTAAGTCAGGATTTCTTTGAAGATAATTGAGTAGTAGTATCAAAAAGTCTTTAAGAATCTCTAGTTTCTTGTCTTCAGTTTTTCCTGTGTAATGACCATGATAGGTTACACAGAGAAATTTGCCATCAGGTCCTTTTGAGTTTAATATCAAAGCATGGAATCTGGCTTTCAACTCACTTTCTCTAGATATGATGTTTATGTTTACAAGCTCATCATACATTTTTACTAGCTCAGCCTTGGGTTCTTCTGTCGTCCAGTCTACAACATTGTAAAGTATTCCTGTTTCCTCATTATAAACATATTCATATTTAAGGACTCCTTCATTGCATTCATTGCAGACCTTGTTATAGAATATTTTCTTTCCTTCCTGAGCAAGAACCAAGTCAGGTCTATAGGAATTAATGATGTTAATGGCTACAGCTCTTTGTTTTTCACCTGGCTTTAAATCTACCCCTTTTGGTTTATGGTTATTTCCACTAACGTTCATTACTAGAGTCTTCATTTTGACTTCTTTTTGTCAAGTGATGTTGTAACTGAAATTGAATAAAAATGAGGTAAAATTATTGAATCACTCAAGTTTCTGTTTTAGGTTCTATTTGGTCCTTTTTGTAAACTTTTTACAGTTTAGAATTACCTTCATAATGTCAGCCAACTTGCTACGACAGTTGCTGTTGACAAACATAGAACAAACTCAGGGGCATTACTTAAACAAGTAACTTTCAAAATTACCTATACAAGTTATGTTGAAATTGAGGCTCTTTTGAATATCACTTGTAACAATTGCTTTTGCAAATTTCATTTAGATATTTAGATATAAGAAGATGTGGTATGAGTGCCAGTGAGACAACTCTCCATCAAAGTCACAATTTGTAAAAGTAAACCATTATAGGTCAAATAAAATTGAGAATGGAAATGGGGAATATGTCAAAGAGACAACAACCCGACCAAAGAGGAGATAACAGTGGAAGCCCACCAATGGGTCTTCAATGCAGCAAGAAAATCCCGCACCCAGAGGTGGGCATCAGCTTGCCCCTAAATAAAAATGTGTACTAGTTCAGTGAAAATGGACGTCATACTAAACTCACAAACATATAAAAGAACTAAAATTAAAAAAACATGCAAGACTAACAAAGGCCAGAGGCTCCTGACTTGGGACAGGCGCAAAAATGCGGCGGGGTAAAGCATGTTTTGTGAGATCTCAACCCTCCCCCTATACCTCTAGCCAATGTAGAATAAAGAAACACACAGCAATACACACAGTAAAACTCTGTTTAAAAAAAGTCAGAGTCCGATGTCAGAATAGGTAACAAAAGAAACTAAGCAAAATGACAATGATACATAAATTAACTCAGAACTACTAGCAGTTACTGACATTCCAGCTCCAGACCTCAATTAAACTGATTGAAAGATTATGTCTTCATCATATGAAAATCAAGCACAATCCCTCCCATTAGGGGTTTAGTATGTACGGTCTTCAACACAGAGCCTTGGCTCCAACACAACATTTGTCCATTCTTACAGATATTACTAGCTTGAAAAAATTTTCTCAGACATCTGGTTATTTTCCCCAAGAAATATAAAAAAATAATCCTCCTGAAACATTAATTGCCTATCAGTTGCACTTACATTTGATATTGACACTTCTGGGTCAAAGATTGGTCTGTTGGGACTTTTCAAACATCATTTTCTTTAGAAAATCAAGGCAGTTAAATATAAATAGATGGAAATCTGTGATTTAATTGAGACTTGAAGTTAATAATGATTTGTAACACAAAACAGTTACATGGCTTTCAACAATGAGAAAACCCCACACCATAAAGTCGGCTATAAAAGGCCCCAACATGAAAAATATGAAACAATTCAATTGGAAAAACTAATGGCCTAATATATAACAGAACAATTTATTGAAAAATATATGATAGACATGAACCAACTACAACCACTGATCTACAGGCTCCTGACTTTGGATAGGCACATAATGAATGAAGCGGGGTTATACATATTTGAAGGTGCCAACCCTCCCCTAACCTGGGACTGTGTTGTAACAACACAACACAAGAATAAACTATGCAAATCAAATAAATGAAAAATAAATATGAGAAACAGCAAAAAATAACAACCACTCAATTACAGGCTCATGACTTGGGACAGGAACATATAGAATGTGGTGGGGTTAAAAATGTTTGAAGGCACCAACTCTCCCCCTAACCTGGGACAGTGGTGTAACAAACTTACAGTACAACATAAGAACAAGCTATAAGAATTAGTTGATAAGGGTTTTTTTATGCCCCATTTAGGGACATTATGTTTTTCGGTCTGTCGTCCTTCCTTTGTTCCTTTGTCCGTCTGTCCCGCTTCAGGTTAAAGTTTTTGGTCAAGGTAGTTTTTGATGAAGTTGAAGTCCAATCAACTTGAAACTTAGTACTCATGTTCCCTATGATATGATCTTTCTAATTTTAATGCCAAATTAGAGTTTTGACTCTAATTTCACGGTCCACTGAACATAGAAAATGATAGTGCGGGTGGGGCAGCCGAGTACTATGGACACATTCTTGTTATTAGTTGTTATTGGCTTTGAACTAGCTGTCAGTAACTGCGAGATCTCTCAGATCTGTACTTAGTGTCTTTTTTCTTGTTAGGGATGA